CTATCTGCATTTTTTACTAGTGTTTATCTGCTCTCCATGGCTTTTCTCATTGTTGAGGCCAACTAGGATGTTTGGGTCACGCTTGAGGATCTACCGGATCAGCATTACGGTTTTGAAAGGACTCTACTGCAATGGTGGGATTGGAAGACAACATGGCCCATTTCTTGTAATCCTCTTGACGGTAAGATTAATTTGTGGAAATACGGTCAGGCCAAGGCTATACAACAATAAATACGACGATAAACCGAAAATGCAAATTAATAATTATAGCTCCCTATTTATCTCAAATTTTTTTAAATCTATGTGATACAGCCTAATGGTGTCGCACCCCTTAAGCATTCAGCAATGCCCGTTCTGACAGGAGAGTCAGAGTGGCGGGCTGATGGCAGCGCAGCAGATCTCCAGCAGCATATGCCTGATCAGTCATTGTCGTATATTCGAAGGCCTTGTCCTCGGACTATTTCCCACAGCCCTGTGTTTGCACCGACCAAGGTTCAATCAGGAATGTCAACGGCCTTGCATCAGCTGCTGTTCTGCTGTCTTACTGTAGTGCTGGCTGGAGCAGCGGGTTGGTTGCATTCGATCTACACTTCACGCCTACATGACAACCATCTCTCTTTCTCGCATCTTTCAGCTCTCGAACGAGAGCTAACCTTCCGCACCGAGATGGGATTCTACTACTCATATTTCAAGCAGGTATGTTTCATCCAACTTTGAGCCTTTATCGCGTTTTGCCTCAATTCTATTATAAAATATCTGATTTTTTAAAGTTTAGCCTAAGTGGAAACCGCACTAGTTTTTCTTATTATAAGAAGTTCAAGTTAAAATTATCTTACCTCTTAACTATTTTTGCTACAACCACCGAAATTTCGCCCCTTCCAGTTATTAGTTTAGCATCAGAGATTGCTCGATTGCTTTGGTATATCTGCGGTAATTTTGGATTTTTCTTTGCAATATTGTACTATTTTCCTATTTTAAGCGTAACAATATGGCAGATTCTGATGAACATTCCCAGCACAAGGAGGAAGGGTGGTGTGAAAACCAGCGTGGAGTGCGGAGGGTTCTAAGAAAAGCCGCTATTTAAAAAAAAGGGCACACCGTACCACATTTAATTAAGCAAGTAAAATATTGCGACAGTGAAGGCGTGATTAGAGAATATAG